ATATATGTGGACAGCCCATCCCAGATAACCTCTGGTGTTGGTGCAGGTGTTGTGGGCTTTGTTCCAAGAGAGTTACTAATCGATTCCGCAATTTGAGAAATCAAAATGAGGCCCTTTATTAAGGCTTCTTGTAATTTTTGTAGACGTGCATCCATGCTACGTGTGGATTTCTTAGCAATGTCCCAAATTTCTGGGTTCACCTTTGTAACTCTTAACAGCTCACAGTTTTTGGGACGTTTTACTTCTTCCTTCCGTTTTGATAATGTTTGTTCGTTTAGTCCAGTGAACAAAATGCTGGTCAGGATTTTATAAATTTTAGTTGGCAATGGTTGGTCTGTCGGTTAATTCTCAGTCACTTCGTGAATCAGCTCATCTACCAAAGCATCGCTTTGGTTTGCTAGAGCTGAAACTGTATCTGCAACTACAGCAGCAGCCCCGTTGGTTGAGTTTTCGTCATCAGTTTCACATTCAGACATAACATCACCATCGTTCATTTGGCGTGCAGCATCATAAGCCTGCTGGAGCTCTTTTACGACAGGAGCAAAAGTATTCATCCAGTCAGTAAGTTGATCGACTTTCCTGTTAAGGTCGTCCAAAGTGGTTCTCCCGCCATTTCCTTCTTCTAGGAGATTGTTGTTGTTCGCTTTAGCAGAGTTTTTATACCCGGCCCCGCCAGATTTGCCCATTTTCAATTGTAGACGAGACCGTTTCTGTTCCGGTTCATCGTCTACATTCACGTCTCTTAATAAGCCCGACAGCATCGGATTAGGATGGTTATGCAAGAGCGTCAGATCGTCTGATTGCTCAATTGCTTCGTTGACTTGTGCCATTTGTTGTTGAATAGATTATCTAACCCCAGAAAAAGAGTTTGCCGCGCAAACTCAGTGGTTATGTAGGTGTTTTGTCCTGTATTGTTTTATGGAACTTTTTTGTCGTTCTACACAGCAAGATAGCAAATTATTTCATGGATTATTCGTATATGACCAAACACGCCATCTGTAATGGCGGTGAGCAAGGTAGAGAATGACCAATGTGCGCATGCGTAGTATCTCGTGGGATCTCTGTAGTAGATGCTAATAGAATCAATGTTTTTTTTCCATTCTTAATGAAAATCGTTTGAATGATTCTATAAGTGACTTTTAAAGCTATTATTAATACCACGTCTGAAAAGTAGGTTTAATTTTTTGTTTCAAATTATCCACTGTAAAAATTGCGGCTCTTACACGAAGAAACGGATTGATAATAAATAATTCTGAGTCTGTGATGCGCTTGACATACACAGATGCCACGTCATAAAGTGACATTTCTTTTTAAATATAATTAAACTTAAGTAAACAGTACAATGTACAAATGTAAAGTAAAGATTAGGTTCCAGGGGTCAAAATGAACTCATGATAACGTATATATTTCATCATCAATCATTATTTTTCAATATAATTACACTTTAGTAAACAATACAATGTATAAATGTAAAGTAAAGATTATGTTCAAGTGGTCAAAATGAACGCCAGATAACGTACATATTTCATCATCATTCATTTTGCACGTAATTTATTCTTAGATGAACTTTGATTTAGCATGTACACTGAGAAACTGAAATCAAGATACTTGTTTTGTTTTCCAACGTGTTTAACTGTTTTAGTTACTTGAATTAAATGGAGTAACAACACAAAGTCGAGAAATTTTCACTGACTGTCAGGCCAGGCCCGCAGTGAGGTGATAGGCAAGGGGGCATTTTGCCTTGGGCCAGTAATATAATAGAGGAAGTCGTCTCCCCATTTGGACTCATGGAAATGCCAAAATTAAAGTTTATAGAAAAAGTAATGAATGATTTGTGTATTATTTGTACTTTTCTTACGTTATCGCATCATGCAGAAGACATTCATCAATTGCTAACTTTTTAGAAATTCTCGTAGCAACTTCAAACGGAATCACGCTATAAGTGTTATCAATATGAGCAGACATGTGGCTAGAATGTAAAATTTTGGGGATTAACAACATTTTTTTTGGAGGGGGAGTTGTTGACGTCAAGTTATACTGTGTTATTACAATAATATAATTTATCACTAGTTAGTTTTTGTGGGTAGCCGCTGTGCATGCACGGCTAACCACTTTGCCATACTGAAAAAGTGTCTGAGTGAGGCAGTGAGGCAGGCAGTGTTTTCTCGTCGTGATATCCTCGGCTGTGTCATCGGTGATAGTCGCATATACGAACGATCACGAATAGAATTTTTTTAAGTAATGTCAATACTTATGTTATTTCCATAAATTCGTAAAAGCACTATTGCTAATGTGCATTTAATACAAACAACAAGTTTTTTGAAAATAGACATGTTTTGACATCTCATGATACCATCTTCAGTATGAGTGAATAACATATATGTTATTCTACAATTACCTATGATTTTGAGCGTATAATCTGCACTTTGTTTTAGTGACAACAGTCAAACCCGTGCAGCTGAAAATATCATTCATTTATTCGCTTTACTGGTGATTACAAACGTCAAATATATCCTACGGGGGGCTACTGCAGTTTGGCGGACAACTTAAACGCTGACCCAAACTCTACCCTATAATCACAAGCAAAAACGAGCCTGCGGCTACAAGCACTTCCGGTGTCCGCTAAACTGAAGTTTAGAACAATTTTAAATTGGAACAGAATCATCAGCAATATAGTCCTATCAAAATGTTAATAAGCAAATATTCATACAACACAGCAAAGCAGTTTGATATATCTTGTTAAAAGAACGACGTATCTCTTCACCACACGATTGTTAGACAAATAAGATATATTATTTATCAACTAGCAGTTACTATCGCAAGGTAAATGCTGCCTCTCGCGTCGAGTAGGCGAAAAGATTATTATTTTAAGTGTTTTTTCATTGTATCAAATCTACTATTTTAATGCCTTGAAGTAAAATCAATTACTCGGTCATGTCACCAGGCAGTGAACACAATTTTTATCGAGAGAAATAAATAAAGCACACAAGTCTTTATAAATGACTTGTAGTCCTATTTTTAATTTATCGTTTTAACTTTTGTAAACATTTTGTAAATTTTAAATTATACGTTTTTTCACAAACTCATTCCTTATTTTTCGAATAAAAAATGGTTTCGCCACCTAATAAATTAAAGGTTGAGGAAAATGGATCTCGTTGTGCTCATTTTTTACATTGCAAATTGATGCTTTTTGCACAAACTCGTTCTTCATTTCTAGCTTGAAAAATGGCTTCACCACCTTCAAAACTTAAGTTTGAGGCAAACGGATCTCGTTTAAGTAAACTTTTGATAAATAAAGGAACACAAGCCTTAAAAACAACATTGAAATTCATTATAAATCTTCAATCGTCAAACTTAAAAGATAAACTTAATGATCCTTCTATCAAGAGTAAATTGACATCAATAAAATTCAAAGTCATCAGCAAGGAGCAATGGAACCTCCTTTACCCGTCAACTGGTTCACCTGACATTGAAAACTTTGATATTTCATTATTGACTGTCTTGTTGAGAAATATATGTAATCTAACAGCGCCACATGGTGGATGGAATAATCTTCCTTCCTCTTCAGATACCTCAGTCTCAGCAGACATTGCAAGAATAAAGTTTTATCGAAACGAAGTTTACGGTCACATAACTAAAACTAGTGTAGATGATAGTGAGTTTGAGTACTTGTGGCAGAAAATTTCAAAAGCATTGGTTGGTCTGGGTATTCAACAAACTGAAATAGATGAATTAAAGAAAGCTCCACTCACTGCTGATGAGGCAAATTATATTGAAATGTTAAAAAACTGGTGCACTGTTGCTGAGAAAACAAAAGAAGATGTGGAAAATATAAAAATGACGTGGAGGAAATTAAAGAAATTGTGTCAACAAAAGCTGATGTAGCTAAAATTACACAAGGGATGGCTACAAAGCTGATGTAGCTGAAATTACACAAGAGATGGCAACAAAAGCTGATGTAGCTGAAATTACACAAGAGATGGCTACAAATGCTGATGTAACTGAAATTACAAGAGATGGCAACAAAAGCTGGTGTAGCTGAAATTACACAAGAGATGGCAACAAAAGCTGATGTAGCTGAAATTACAAAAGAGATGGCAACAAAAGCTGATGTAGCTGAAATTACACAAGAGATGGCTACAAAAGCTGATGTAACTGAAATTACACAAGTGATGGCAACAAAAGCTGATGTAGCTGAAATTACACAAGTGATGTCAACAAAAGCTGATGTAGATGAAATTTCACAAGTGATGGCAACAAAAGCTGATGTTGTTGGAGTAAGAGAAATGATACAGGACAAAATATGCTCAGATATTCAGAAGCTTGGAAAGTGTAGTTTTAATGGTCTTATAAAAGAACTTAACAAGAAATACCTTAAAGGCACTAGACAATGGTTATTTGAAAACTCGACACATGGTTTAACGATAGAAGTGAAATGCTTCTAATGTCATGATTTTGATTGCCGGTCCTGGCGTTGGTAAAAGTGTGTTTGCTGCTGAGGTGTGTCGACGATATTCTGAAAAGAAGAAACTTGCTGCTTCTCATTTCTGCAGATATAATAGATCAGATTATAGAAATCCTCGAATATTGATAGAATCATTGGCCAGTAGCATGTGTGATACAATATCAAATTTTAAAAGTAAACTGAATGAAGAATTACAGAGAAATAATTCCAAAGAATCGATCACCGATAAATTCCTTGTTTTATTAAATAACCCATTGCATTCATTGGAAGATCATGAACAAATGCTTTTGGTTATTGATGCCTTAGATGAAAGCCAAGTAGAGGGCAAAAGTGAATTATTGGAAATGATTACTGATGAATTTGGCCGACTGCCTAAATGGATTAAAATCTTCATCACCAGTCGTCCAGAACTTCCTGTTCAAAGGAGTTGAAAGACATGAATCCTGTAGAAATAAAACTAAACCTCATGATACAAAGAACAAATACGATCTGTGCAAGTATTTAGCACATGAGTTGAATGTTAATTTCATCATTAATGACTTCTGACAAAGACAGTGATGACAGTGATGACAGTGATGACAGTTATGACGATTATTGCTTCAGTTATAACGACAAGGTTTTTCGTTTGTTAGTTGAAAAATGCGAGGGTTCGTTTCTGTACGCTTACCACGCACAAGAAAGCTTAAAAAAAGGAAAATTTAAGATAACTTTCGAGAATATTAAACAATTGGTCCCTAGTGGGTTAAGTGGTGTTTACACAAAGCAATTCAAAAGAGTAAAAGAATTGTTAAGAAGGTTTGTTATCTCAGAAACTACTTTCATGCAATTTCTTGAATTGTTGGCTGCCTCTCGGGAGTTTTAATTTCCTGTTTAGCTATTTAGGTTTTTCTGGTGACATCAAGTTTGAAGTCCGCAGTAAAATCATTGAACCGTTATCTCAAATTTTGCCAGTTTACGATGATTGTTTAACCGTGTATCACAAATCTCTCATTGATTGGTTGAAATCAGATGGTTACGAACAGCATGAGTTTACAGTTGATCCAAAAAATGGTCATAAGTTCTTATGGCATGCTTGTGAGAAAGTGTTTGAACAAATTAAGTCGATGAACATTTTTGAAGATCAGATGAACACTGTTATGATTAAATATGCTTTGAAGAATGGAATCTATCATATGTCAAAATGTGGCGAAAATGTTGACGTTAGCTGGGCAGTAGATGTCAAAGTGGTTTGTGCGAGGTTAATGGGTGTGGAAAACATTGACATGTATACCATTAGCTCTGAATTGTTTGAAATCATTAAGGAGCTACGTACTTTCTTGAAAAAAGATGTAATTGAAGAAGCACTAATTGATTTGCTTACGACACATAAAAATGCGATGCAAAAGTTTGATGAAAACTTTTTTTATTCACAAATTATTGCAAACAGAATTCATGGCAGTAAAGAAAATGGATTATTGGCAAGGGATTTATTGAGACAAGGAAAGTTTGTTTGGTTTGAGGATTTAGACTCAACATATTTAACAAACCATCATCATTTGACTGTCTCCTTGCGCGCTAACGTTACATCTCTTTGTGTGTCGTCCAATGAAGAACTTCTTGCTGTAGGATATGAAAATGGTCAAATATCTATTTCTGAACTTCCTGAATTTAAACAACGATGGACCCTCGGCACTGCACTCGATGATTCAAGGTTAGATAAGTGGGATAATGTAGATGATGTAGACACATTTAAATCCCAGTATGACATCTATGACTATTCAGCATTAATGAAATTTAGTTTTGTACGTGGAAACATCTGTTGTTGCTCCTTTTCACCTACCGGAAATAGACTGGTAACTAGTGATGGATCTACTGAAGTAAAGTTATGGGACGTTAACAATGGACGTTTGTTATTATGTTTACAGTCAGATGATGTCGTTAATCGTTGCTCTTTCTTAGATTCTGGTTTGTTTATTACAGCATTATGTGTAAAACATTGCTTTGAACATTCTAAAGATGTGTTCACTGCGTGGAATTCATTAACTTTGCAAAGAATCGATCGACGCTGCGTTGTTGATTACCAAAAACTACAATACACCGTTAAATGTTCAGAATTTGTCGAGACTTCGTATGTTTTTCAATTCCCAAAGGCAATCGATATTTTTTTAAGTAAGAAGGAATATCCAGTACCTTTACATTTAATGAAAACCCACCATTATCGTGATTGTATTTATTATCATACAAACCAGAATGGAAAGCTTTCTGAAATCACTCAGTTGACAAAATACAACGACCAAGGAGTAATCGAGTTTTGTTTACCAAATGTTTGGTGTCCATGTGTTGATAGGACTCTTACCAAAGTCCATCCAATCTCGTTTAAGGAATTTTACGTTGTGCCGTATTTTTCCAAGCTTAAAATTTTCAAGACTGATCATCTTTGGAGACCTTCATTTATCTTTGATAAATTTAAAATTGAATGTTGTTGTTTTTCACCGGATGGATCTTTTTTGGCTTCTTTCGCTGTTAGTGACCACGTCAACATTCATATTTGGAGCATTGAACGTTGCACTATTATTCAAACTGTACCAATGCAACTGAAAGATGCATTAGTATGTTGGTGGTCGGATGGTTTACTGTGGATATGGGATGATTCTGATCATCTTACGAAGATACCAACTTCGTCTGAAAATTTTGTAGATTCTACTAAAGCAAAGCATGTTAACATTGGATTTAAACCTAAGAAAATCTTAACATTTGGTGATGTCTTAGTTTGTATTGACGAACAAGATTTTGTCCAAGTTGTTAGAATTACCAAGGGTAAGATACAATACAACAAAAGACTTCCTGTTGATAGTTCAAAATTTAAAGCAGCAGCTGTATCACATGATAATTCTGTTATTTTAACTGTAAACAAAACAGAATACACATTATGGAAATGGGGAAATAACAACAATGAACTTTACTTGAAACCTTGGCATACTGCACAAATACCCATAACAGCTCTAATTGAAAAAATTGGTCCACAACAGATCACTGTAAATGATCTAAAGTTCAACTGCTGTATAAGTGATAGTAAACAAGCAGTCATAACATTTTCCAAAGACATCAAAAGTATGGGCATTTATGTAATTGATGTTCACGAGAATGGTGATGTGAATGCGATTATGCATGATGTCAGTAAATATTTTTTGGTCTCCAACCTAGTCGTACACAAATCTTATTGCATTGGAGTGCGTGGTCGGTTATTGGTTGCTGTAGATTTAAAGAGTGGTGAAATATGCGCTGAATTTTACACATTATTTTATGCCTAATATAACTATGCATTCCAATACAGGAACTTTTGCTATTGTTGACGGTTTAAAATGCATAATTCAATTTTTAAAACTTAATGTTCCTGAATAAATACATCAACTCAAACTTTAATATTAAATTCAAAAAGCTGTTGAGAAAATTGCATATAGATGTTGATGGTCGTAAGGATGGTTGCTTGTTTCCACCTACTATAGTTTTCTATAGAAGAAGTATACTTATTCTACCAGGCAATCTTTAAGAAATTATCTATATTTACCAAAAATAAATTTGGACCAATTTTGCAAAAGATCTTTTAAATTTATCGGTACTATTTCTTGGAATGTCTTACCTCCTGCTATTAAAGAATGTAAAACATTATCTATGTTTTGCAATAATCTGAAACGATGTATAATTGCTTTTTATAACACAAATGACTTGTATTTAAAAAGAGCGCTTCTATACTAATTGATCATGAATATTTGTTTATTCCTTTCTAAGATTCTACTTGTAACCTTCATAAATGAATTGTAATTTAAACAGGGCATCCTCTAGATTTGACTACTTCTGTAAGATGCTCTGTCAAACTTATTATTATGTATTGTATCTCTGAACAAATTTCATGTTGATGATTTACTTTTTAACAAAAATGTATGGTTGGATAATTTGGTTGTTTATATTTAACAAATAGATAACATTTAACCGTTGTCTATACAGTTATAGATACACGGGTATGACGTCATTGTGATAAAAATTGAGTGGCCACGAGCCGCCGGGCAAATCAATGTTTGAAAACCGGATTTTTTCTCTTCTTTTTGCTCAAATACGTCCAATGCTTCAACTAGGCATACTTAATTTCTTTATTTGCCCATTCAGGGATATATTCAGGTAAATATTCAAATAAATTCTCCGTTCGTTTGTCATTTAAAAACAAGGAATTTTCTGTGACCTCAATTCCGTGCGTCTGTCCTCTTATAGATCAATTTGTATCAAAAAGACAATAAAACTACTTGCTGATAAAGTGTAATCGAGTTAAGTCATATCATTGGCTAATACCAAGTCCAGCATTTGCTATTAATACCCAGTTTCCAACACGGACAGACTTCACATCATCACGAACTGCCAACACTTCGCCAACACCCTCGTTACCACCAGCTGCAGGGAGAGAAGGTTTGATGGGAGACAATCCTAAATAAAAAGTGACGGACTAAGAATTTCAAGGGGAGGCATGCATATAATGGTATCAATTGCACTCCCCACCTTGAAGCACATTCAAATCAGCTGGATTGACAGGTGAAGCCAACATTTTTAGAAAAACACTTTCTCTGTTGAATTCTGGTAAAGGATAATCTTGTAGACTACAAAATCAAAGTAGAAATCAGTGGCAGATCCAGATGAGGTTGCAGTATGTTCACAGACAGAGACAGCCTCTCCAAAACTTGGATAATTTATTGATAATTTCGTAGAAGCACTATTGCTAATGCGCATTTAATTTACACGAGTTTTTTTAAAATAGACATGTTTCGACATCTCATGATGCCATCTTCAGTATAAGTGAAATAATAAATCATACAAGGTTTATATAAAAGTAATATGATACATAAATTACAACAATAATAAGGAAATAAGATAAATTAATGGGGAGCGTCCGAGCGTATTATAACTAAATATTGTATTGAATTTAAAAACTTGAACATTGAGGTCAGGGTTAGTTTTGTTAATGTGGAGTGCTTCTTTGATATTGATAATAAAATTGACATGCATGTGAAGGAGCTAGCACTAAATCCTTGCATGAATTGCCATGTGTAAAATCGTCGGCACTGACTACAGAACAACTTAACCACTTTCAACGTAAAATTCACAGTTCACAGGAATATTTTTGCCTGATAACCTTAGTTGGGTCGCCATATTCTGAATAAACTAAAGCTTTAGAAGACCGAGGTATACTTTCAGACGTGATAGAAAATGTCCTCGACAATTTTACAGCTTTGCTTGAAGTCAGAAACCTGAAGAGAACGCTTTGCTTCGCCCAGTCTGCAATGGTCGTGGGCAGCGCATTTTATATAATGACATTCTGAAGGATGGGAAATAACGTCGTCCTGACAACAACCAAAACCTAATTTTAAATATTTACAATAAAAAGTCACTTCAAGATTAATTTTAAGCTATGAATTTTTGGATGGCTTTGAAAAAGGAACATAATGGAAGGTATTTCAGAGTACATCTTCATCGGTATTGATTTTAATTCGAGGCTCGAACAATAGTACAATTACTACAATACTAAATGATATATATATAATTCTGAGTCTGAACTTCTACATTATAAGGTAATTATAAGATTGGAAAATGTTTCATGGTAAGCTAAAGCTCGCATTTTAAAAAAGTTCATTTGAACCAAAAGCTCATATTAAGCAAAAGCTTGCATATTGCAATATAGCTCGTGTGAATATTTAACTCGTACGAACCAACAGCTTGCATTCTTTGAGTAACAAGTGAAAATTTTCCGTATTATTTTTTAGACGAGGACGAACAAGATGGCCAGCAATCGTCAAAAGGTTTGAGTGAAACATTGAAGGAAATGCCTCAAGAAACAGTTGAAGAAACCAAAGAACAAGACAGCGTTAGTCTACATAGTATGCCATTGAGCGTTGAAAGAGTGAGTAATGATTTTTTATATGGTTAAATGATGGAGTTGATGTGCAGTGTTGCACTCCCCTCGTCTTGTAAAGTACGAGTATGTGCTTAAAGAGGAGATGCCTAATTATGGTGCTGTTGATAGCGCAGACTCAGATTCAGAAAATCTTCAACAGGCAACAGCAGTTCTTCTGCAAGAAGGTATGAAGAAATTAGTAGGTACATACATGCTGCTAAACACTTATAAATGCATCATAATTGCTGCATTTATCTAAATTATTTTCAAAAGAAACGAGTTGTAAATGATTTGATATAGTTTTCTTGATTGGTTAAAAATGATGCTTTGCTTCATGTATGACTTTTAGCTTGTTGTTTTAACTGGCAATATGCTCCTGCAGCACAATTTGGTCTCAATATGAACAAAGTTGAACATGCTTATTGTGATTTTTGCATGTTGTACTTAGGTGTAGAAGTTGTGATATTGGTAAGCTTAGTCTAGCAAATACTTTGCTGGGTTGTATTGCTACAATAATCATTTGACTGGTTTTCTATTTAAGAACAAAAGAAGAGTATCATTGAAGAGTATCGAGATGCTACAATTGTCAGTGACAGTCCAGTTTTTTGAGTTTTTGTCAACTGCATAGCAAGTGACTTTGCCAATGACATTTTGGGAATTTACAAGAATCACAGTAGTAAGTTGTGTGCTCGGTTCAGTGTAAAGTTTGAAAACGAAACTTCAGTTGGCAGTGGTCCTATGCGAAAACTTTTAAGCCTAGTAATGAAAATGATTCTTGATGGTTTTCCACTGGATGGTGAAGAAAGGCCAAAACTCTTGTTTTTGAAGGAGAAAATGACCATAAAGTTCCTGTAGCCAACTCACTTTTGAGAAGTACAGGCTTCTATAAGTGCATTGGAAGAATGATTGCACATTCTTTCCTACATGCTGGATCACCACTATTTGGAATTTCTAAAGTAGTTGTTGATTATTTGGTATGTGACAACGATGAGATTCCTTTAATAGAAGTTGTGGTACCTGACATTGACTTGAGGATTGCATTGAATGAGGTTTGAAAAGTTTTATTGCATCTAAGCATTGCTTTTCAGTATTTTGTTTGAGCTAATCCTGTGTTTTATAACATAGTTGAACAGCCTTGGTAAAGATGAAGCTTCTGGAACTGCATTGAAAGATGTTTTAACTCAGTACAGAACTGAAGCTTCAATTTTAGATACATCATTCTCTGGTGCAAATCGTCATGTTATTGCCCAGCAAATCATGTTACATGCTGTCATCACCCGTAGAAAATCAGAGTTGAAGATCTAGCTGATGGAATGAATGAGTTTGGACTGGTTGATTTCCTGAAGAAAAAAAAAGATGTTGTTCAACCACAACTTTTTCCACAATCAACTGCTTCTCTTATTAATGAAGATCACTTAAAAAGAATTATTGAAATTAAAGAAAAGAAGGAGGCCTTCATTGTAATCAACTGATGTTGTTTTTGAAACTATACATTGATCTAATTGATGCGACAACTAGTGGTAAGCGTTTTGGTGGAAAGATGCAGGGAAGGTTGTAAGTGGTAGTAGTCAGTCTATGTATTTTTTTGTGTGAATATGGTTTGTTTTTTAATATTTGCACCACAACTGATTATATATTATATGTTGAAGCAGCAGTAACTTTATCTGTTTGAACAATATCAATGTCAGTAATATTTTCTTGTTTTTAAATTGGACCTTTGCTTTCTCCAACAAAAACTTAAATGTTTAACTGTTTGAGGTACTAGTTATATTAATACTTTAATACCTGTCCATTCCTAGGGGCAAATCTTAAAGATCTTTTGTCTTTTAGGACTGGGTGTGATTTACTGCCTGCAAATGATGCAATCCTGCATCTCAAAGTTGACAGAACAAAAGATCGTAATCTGCCCCCAGAAAGTAGAACTTGTTTTCATTTGTTAGTTCTTCCATGTTATGAAAACTTTGATGAACTGAAAGCTAAACTGGATAGAGCTTTGCAATTTGGTTCAAGAGGATTTACGAATATTTGATCTTGGAACAGTTTATACATTTCTTTCAGCAATAACATAGCTTGTTACAGCTAATATGGATGATGCACAAAATTGAAATATTTTTATTCTTTGTTTTGGATATCATTTTTATAGTTAAAAACTTAAAGTGAATATGTTAATGTTTCATTAAATTTTGTTCTGTCAGTGCATCAGCATTTATATGCTAAAAAGCGTTTTCTGCTAAAATGTTTGAATAATCAACATAATGAAAAATTTATAGCCTTCCTTGCCATACATATCTTCTTTTGTTTTATCTGAATTGACATTAAAAAACAATAGGTCAAGTAGCTTTTGTTGTTTTGTGAGTTCTCGATGTCACTCGTCTTCCTGGTGCAGTCTGGTATTTACAAACTGAAGCATCTCAATGTATATGTCAGCACCATTATGATTAGAAGGACTTAAAGGATTAATGGTTCTTTGCTGCTCATCAGGATCTATTTCATTTAATGGAATGTTGGTTTCTGGAACAACCTGTAGTGACGTACATAACGTGCGTATATTATTCATTTAGATTTATGTATTAGCAATAGAGGAAATAGCCAATCCTACACTTACTCGCAAAAGACCCTACTGTTGACACATCTGCCAAATCTGGGGAGCTTCATCAACTTCGCAAGACCGTTTCTGATCTTGCTGCGTCAGTACAGGCTCTCAATCTTTGTTTCCCTTCATCGTCCGATGTCAATGACCGTCCGCCTCGCTCTCGTAATCGGCAACCGAATGATCCCAATCACAGACCATCTTATAATGGTTATTGCTGGTATCACGCCCAATTCGGCGCCGCTGCCCGAAAATGTGTTCAACCTTGTACTTTCCATACATCGCTACGGTCAAACTACAACGCCAGACAATAGACGCGGCGACATCGTCTCAAGCCTGCACATCTCGCTCCTCCTACGCCCAGTTCCCCTGGTCACACCCATACGCATGAAGCTGCCAAAAAGGACAAAGAGAACTGTCAAACTACAGCAACACAAATAAAACAAACACGCTCTGGTCGTTGTGTCCGTTTTCCTCAACGCTATATTTCTATCGTTTCTCATTAATTTCATTAATTTTGACACTAGCCTGGGGCTCCTGTAGTGACGTACATAACGTGCGTATATTATTCATTTAGATTTATGTATTAGCAAAAGAGGAAATAGCCAATCCTACACTTACTCAAACGCGCTACTTTAACTTACGCACTTAACTATATAATTACGTAAAACTACTCAAATTTCAAGTACATTATCCGCCTTGTAATAACTGCACCTTGAAATATATAAAAAGCCTGTAAATAAATTCTAACAGAGAGAATACTCACGACTATTGTAAATAACTTCTTCGCTAGTGAATAAAATAATCACAAAATTTAACAGTGTTCTAGTACATTGAACTCACGTTCGGAGCTCATACGAAAGATTTATATAACGCAAAATAGTCAATGATTTATACCTAGTTATATAACTGAGATTTTCTACATATACACACTATAGAAGAACATACAGTAGAGCCACTTTATTGAAATTTTCCTGCCACAAATATGTTTTTACGCATGTGGTAATCAAATTAAATATACAGCATCCAGTTGCACACGAAGTGGACCTACTGTATATTCACTATACTCTGACATAGATGTCATTAATGTTTCATAATACTGTTTGTTGAAGGAGATCCTGACTCACTCTTTTATATTCGTTCGTTATTTAAATGTGTTTATGTAACAAAACTCATGTGGATAAAAGATTGATGTTACAATAAGGCATGAACTTTCATCACCATTTTTTAACTGATATGTATGTGGTCGCGTTGTTTATATTGAATCTTTCAAACGTTTGTTGAGGATGTGACATGTAAAGAACTAAAGCAAGCATAATTTTGTTCACACGGTCGTCTTACTTCTAAAATGGAAGTCATTTTAGAAAAATTAAGCTATATTTTACAACTACATTACCGACATAAGAAAGTAGCTAAAGCAGCATCGTGATAAAGTATGACTGAACATGCATGAGAAATCATATCTAAATTCATATACCAACTTTCTAACTATTGACAATAAGTTGCTTGACAAAGGAAAGCAAAACACGTTCAAAGGTATGGGAGAGGTGAAATAGCATACTTGTCTACGGAAAAAATGGGAATCTGTGAACATTTATGTAGAAAGGATAATATGTCCAATCATGCATCACCTCCTTTTTTTGCCGACGCCACTTTTCACAAATCGCTGTGTGTCTAACAAAATGCTGTTAATTGTATTCAGGAAACCATTTATTTTAAAAGTAAGAACATTTGTAAAATAAACAAATGTTGAACACAGGAAAAATTTATTTACACAGAGAAAGAACGCAATCGAATCTATGTTTGTTTAACAGTTTTAAGGCTTACTTTCATTACAACCTTTACTGTTATATCTACAGTGTTTTTATTGATCATAAGTAATTATACTTGCGTGATTTTACGTTTGATATGTATTCATAATTTACAATGGTTTATTCAATAACAAAGATTTTTTATAAGAAGAACTGACTTATGCACGAATATACATTTATGGAATTTTTGATTAGAAAAGGGAAAAATCTATTCACAGTTTCGAAAATCGTGTCTTAATCATTGGCATTCAAATCCTGTCTTAGATAAGTGAGTCTCTATTCCTGAGTTAAAACCTGTGAAACTTTATGAGATTTAGCAGTACTCCTTTAGAATATGACTAATTTCAATGTCATTATGTACTCTACAAAAGGTTCTTATATATGTATTTTTATTTCTATAACAATTGTTTTTAGTCAGTGATGTATACTTAGTTATAAACTGTTTATTTGAAGGAGGTCCTGACTCATTCTTCATCTTCGTTCGCTATTCAAATGTGTTTATGTAACAAAACTCATAAGGATAAAAGATTGATGTTTAAATAAGGTATGAACTATCATAACCATTTTTAATCTGATATGTATGTGGTTGCATTCTTTATATTAAATCTTTCATCCGTTTGTTGAGTTTGTGACATGTAAAGAACTAAAGCAAGCATAATTTTGTCAACACAGTCGTCATATATGAAGTCTTATTTCTAAAACGAAGGTAATTTGTCGAAAGTAAAGCGAGTTTCAGAAACTATCTTACTAACTTTACATAAAAAATTTGCCACTGAAGCATCTCGATAATGCATGACTAAACATTCGAGAGAAATCATATTTAAGTTGATGTACCAATTTTCTAACTATTGACAATAAGCTGCATGGTATAGGAAATCAAAACACGTTCAAAGGTATAGGAGAGGTGAAATAGCATACTTGTCTACGGAAAAAATGGGAATCTGTGAACATTTATGTAGAAAGGATAGTATGTCCAATCATGCATCATCTCCCTTTTTTTACCGGCTCCACATTTTACTAATCGCTCTGTTTCTTACAAAATGTTATTAATTTTATTGAGCAAACTATTCATTTTAAAAGTGAGAAAATTTGTAAAATAAACAAATGTTAAACACAGCAAGAATTTATTTACACAGAGAAAGAACGCAACCAAATCTATTTTTGTGAAATTTTACATGTTAGTTTAACATTTTTAAGGTTTACTTTCCTTGCATCCTTTACTGTTGTATCTACAGTGTCTTTATTGATCATAAGTAATTATACTTGCGTGCAGTTGATGTTTGACATGTATTTATAATTTACAATGGTTTATTCAATAACAAAGGTTTTTTATAATATGAACTGACTTATGCAAAAATATACATTTATGGAATTTTTGATTAATAAAGGGGAAAAATCCATTCACAGTTTCGAAAATCGTGTCATAATCATTGATATTCAAATCCTGTCTTAAATAAGTGATTTTCTAAACCAGTGTTATAATTTGCGAAACTTTATAAGATTTATTAAAAATCCTTTGGAATTTGAGTAATCTCAATGTTATTATGTACTCAGCATGAGGTTCTTATTTATGTATTTTCCTTTCTATAACAATTGTTTTTAGTCAGTGATGTATACTTAGTTATATAACTTGAATGTTCTACATAGATGTAATTGATAATTTATAGTTCTGTTTGTGGAAGGAGGTCCTGACTCACTCTTCATCTTCGTTCCCTATTTAAATGTGTTTATGTAAAAAGAAGGTAAGTTTAGAAAAATTAAGCGATATTTTAGAACTACATTACCGACATAACAAATTAGATGAAGCAGCATCTGGATAAAGTATGACTAAACATTCAAGAGAAATCATCTTTAAGTTGATACACCAACTTTCTAGCTATTGACAATAAGCTGCATGGTAAAGGACAGTACAGCTAGTTCAAACGTATGGGGAAAAAGAATAACATGAGAACATTTTCTACATGTAGGACGCTGAATTTTTCTTTATAAACTATACTTTTCTATGGAAAAAGGGGATCCTGTAAAAATTTATGTAGGGGAGGGGGCACATATCCTATTATGCATCACCTCCCTTCTTTGCTGACGCCACTTTCGCCTAATCTCTGTGTGTCTAGCAAAATGTTGATAGTTGTACACAACAAACCATTTCTTTTAAAAGTAAGACAATTTGAAAAATAAGCAAATGTTAAACACAGCAAGAATGTATTTACACACAGAGGAAGAGCGCGACCGAATCTATTTTGAAATGTTGATTCATGCAAAACAGTGAGCTTTTAAAATTGTACTTTTATTCATATGTTAGTTTAACAGTGTTAAGGTTTACTTTTATTGCATCCTTTACTGTTATATGTATAGTGTTTTTTATTGATCAAAAGTATTTACAATTGCGTGCAGTTGATAATTAAAATGTATTCATAATTTACAATAGGTAATTCAATAACGAAGGTCTTTTTATAATAAGAACTGACTTATACAAGAATATACAAGTATGGAATTTTTGATTAATGAAGGGAAAATCCATTCACAGTTTCGAAAATCGTGTCTTAATCATTGACGCTCAAATCCTGTCTTTGATAGATGATTCTCTATTCCTGAGTTAAAACTTGTTAAACTTTAAAACGTTTAACAGCATTTTTTGAATTTGATATATCTCAATTTTATTATGAACTCTGCATGAGGTTCTTATTTATGTATTTTATTTCTATAACAATTGTTTTAGTCAGTGATGTATACTTAGTTATAGAATAATATTGTTTGTTGAAGGAGATCCTGACTCACTCTTCATCTTCTTTCGTTATTTAAATGTATTTATGTAACAAAACTCATACGGATAAAAAGTTGATGTTTCAATAATGTACGAATTAAATATGATCACCATTTTTTAACTGATATGTATGTGGTCGCGTTTTTTATATTAAATTTCTCATCTTTTGTTAGGTACGTAACATGTAAAGAACTAAAGCAAGCACAATTTTGTCCACACAATCGTCGTATATGAAGTCTTATTTCTAAAACAAAGGTAATTTTATGTAAGTCAACCGAGATTTTGTATTTATATTTCTAACTTAACAAATTTGATACCGAAGCATTGCGTAGTATGAAGTATGACTATAAACAAATCAATGTTTATTTCCATTCCAAATGAAAATCGTTTGAATGATTTTATGCGTGACTTTTAAAGCTATATTTAATACCACGACTGGAAAGTAGGTTTCAATTTTTTTTTCAAATTATCCACTATAAAAATTGCGGCTCTTACACGAAGAAAAGGTTTGATAATAAATAATTCTGAGTCAGTGATGCGCTTGACATTCACAGATGCCATGTCATACTGAGTAGTATAGTGACTACCGGTTCTGGCGCACTTCACCCCCTGGCAGGCTGCATACACAGAGAAAGAACGCAACCTAATCTATTTTGTGAAATGTTGATTCATGCAACACAGTGTGCTTTTAAAATTATACTTTTGATCATGTTAGTTTAACAGTTTTAAGGTTTACTTCCATTCCAACCTTTACTGTTGTATCTACAGTGTCTTTATTGATCATAAGTAATTATACTTGCGTGTAGTTGATGTTTGACATGTATTTATAATTTACAATGGTTTATTCAATAACAAAGGTTTTTTATAATAAGAACTGACTTATGCAAGAATATACATGTATGGAATTTTTGATTAATGAAGGAAAAAATTCATTCACAGTTTCGAAAATCGTGTCTTAATAATCGGCATTCAAATCCTGTCTTAGATAGGCGAGTCTCTATTCCTGAGTTAAAACTTGTGAAACTTTATAAGATTTAGCAGTAGTCCTTTAGAGTTTGACTAATTTCAATGTCATTATGTCAGTGATGTATACTTAGTTATATAATTAGAATGTTCTACATAGACGTCATTGATAATTTATAAAACTGTTTGTTGAAGGAGGTCCTGACTCACTCTTCATCTTCGTTCGCTATTTGAATGTGTTTATGGGACAAAACTTACATGGATAAAAGATTGATGTTACAATAAGGTATGAATTATGATCACCATTGTCAAACTGATATGTATGTAGTCGCGTTCTTTATATTAAATCTCTCATCTTTGTAAGATATGTGACGTGTAAAGAACTAAAGCAAGCATAATTTTGTCTACACGGTCGTCATATATGAAGTCTTATTTCTAAAACGAAGGTAATTTGTCGAAAGTAAAGCGAGTTTCTGAAACTATATTACTAACTTTACATAATAAATTTGCCACTGAAGCATCTCGATAATGCACGACAAAACATTGAAGAGAAATCATATTTAAGTTGATATACCAACTTTCTAACTATTGACAATAAGCTGCATGACAAAGGAAAGCAAAACACATTCAAAGGTATGGGAGAGGTGAAATAGCATACTTGTCTACGGAAAAAATGGGAGCCTGTGAAAATTTATTTAGAAAGGATAGTATGTCCAATCATGCATCACCTCCCTTTTTTGCCGACGCCACTTTTGACAAATCGCTGTGTGTCTAACAAAATGTTATTAATTGTATTGAGCAAACAATTCATTTTAAAAGTGAGAACATTTGTAAAATAAGCAAATGTTGAACACAGCAAGAATTTATTTACACAGAGAAAGAACGCAACCAAATCTATTTTTGTAAAATGTTACATGTTAGTTTAACATTTTTAAGGTTTACTTTCTTTGCATCCTTTACTGTTGTATCTACAGTGTTTTTATTGATCATAAGTAATTATAATTGCGTGCAGTTGATGTTTGCCGTGTATTCATGATTTACAATGGTTTATTTAATAACAAAGATTTTTTATAATATGAACTGACTTATGCAAAAATATACGTGTATGGAATTTTTGATTAATAAAGGGAAAAAATCCATTCACAGTTTTGAAAATCGTGTCTTAATCATTGGCATTCAAATCCTGTCTTAGATAGGTGAGTCTCTATTCCTGAGTTAAAACTTGTGAAACTTTATAAGATTTAGCAGTTGTCCTTTAGAATTTGACTAATTTCAATGTTATTATGTACTCTGCATGAAGTTCTTATTTATGTATTTTTAGTTCTATAACAATTGTTTTTAGTCAGTGATGTATACTTAGTTATATAAGTAAAATGTTCTACATAGATGTCATTAATGTGTTTTAATACTGTTTGTTGAAGGAGATCCTGACTCACTCTTCATCTTCGTTCGCTATTTAAAGGGGAACTCCACCCTCACATAATGTTGGTCTTAAAACTTTGTCAGTCTCGTGAAAATAAATATGCGGCAATTTTTTTGTTTGTTTGATTCAATATTTTTACAAAAAATGAGTTGAAATGCGGCAGCTAGGTCATCTGGTGCGTGGGAGCAGAAACATGCCAGCGGCTTGTATTTGACGTCATATCGTCAATTGCTGCTCAAAGCTCTATTTGAGTCATTGCACAGCCATAACCAACTTGCGTCAAAATGCTTCTCCTAATCACAAAATGTTTCTTTTCGAAAACTTCAGAATTTTTTATTCATAGGTATATACACAAGCAACTTTTATAGCTTACATGCAAGTATTGAGCTGGTTATTTGTATTCTGTTTTAATAAAACGGTTTCACATCCATAAAGGTCTTTATCGCACAGTTTCCGCACTACATATAGAATTTAAATATCGATTAATATTATTTTTTAAAAATACGAAGGTTTATTTGTAAGGAAACTGTGCTGTAATGCCGTTTGCTTCGTTTGCTTGTCCTCCGAATTCAACCTTAACAACAGTTTCTACTGATGTGAAACCAGTCTATTGCCATGAATAACATTGAATAATAATAAAACATGGTTGTGTAATTTAGATTCATTTTGGTTAGAAATAATCCTACATAAAACCATTGTAAAATTAGCTTTTCGTGTATAGAATTTAGGTGTAGTTTCCTTGACGTAATGTATGAAGTTATAGTTTCCTAATTATTTGTACATAATTTCCCTTTTTTAAGTCACATTTGTGACAAAAATTGCCAGTGCTATGAAAAACAAACACCCTCATATTGATCATCAATATGATGTGTGGCATTTGTCTAAATCTGTCACAAAAAAACTAACAAAGGCTAACTTTAAGGGAAATGATGACTTGACCCATTGGTTTAAGTCCATTTCTAATCATCTTTGGTGGTGCTCTGCAAGTTGTAGCAGGAATGCTAAAGAATTGGTGGAAAAATGGAAGTCTATCCTTAAAGGACACATGCAAGATAGAAGACAACTTTATTTTATTGCAATGCCTATAGCGTGAAATAAGACGTACCAAGTTTCAAAGTCGTCCGCCTAATATTTCAAAAGATATTTAGGGTTATAATCGGTAAAAACATGATATTCGATGACCATTGCTAAAACACCGTGAGATTGTTTAAGTCTGGGAACTGGGAAAGAGTGACGTAATAGTTGACATAAACAAGCTTCGTTCTTATATCGTTCTACGACTTGCACGGCTTTCGGTAGTTTGCTATTACTGTTTTTTATTTAACAAAAATTAATGGATTCTTCTTCTGAAGAAGCCGATTATGATATTGTCATCAATAACAATGAGGTACAACCTTACATGTTTGAGCCTTTGGCCAACGCGCAAGGTGGTTATAGTAATGACAATGCTCCGTCATCGGAAAGCGAAGATAAATACATTCACAGAATTGGAATGTTAAATGGTTAGTTGCATTTTATTAATGCTTCATTGTTTTTCCCAAAGTAAAAACAATGTCTTTATATTTTAGGTGCGAATGTGGCTTTTGTGTGGTCATGAGTACAGGACGGGAAATTATAGGTTGCCAAGAGGTAAACAATACTGATCCTCTGATACATGGCGATCATATTTGTATCACACAAGAGGAAGAGTTTGCCACAGTGTGTACAAACGAAGCTGTCGTAAAAACAGCAATGTCATGTGTACACACATGACATTGGACCTACGCCTGAGAGTGAAGAAAACGAGTGAGAGTCTGATCCATTGCAGCTATTGCTCATCGTCAACGTGCTTTCTGTATCAGACCATACAGCGCTATCCTCAAAATGTTCAATTTCGCTGTCTACATATATTTTGACATCTTTATCTTAGACAAACTTCCTTTGAGGTAAAACGCACAAACATTTCGAGCCGATGTCGACACATCGTGGTCGTCGCCTACAAGAAAGTCGTCATTTTCTGCAAGAACGTCGTCAATAATCTAAAATTATAAAATTGTCCTCAATTTGGTAATGCTATATAGCCTAGTTTTTGATAAATGTAAACAAATATTGCTAACTATAACTATAATAATCACCTCTAGCCTTCGTCTTTTCTCAAATGCAGTTCTGACATTTGTTGGCTGCTTCCTTTTCGATGCTACACTTGTGGGTTCCACAGAGTATTAAAAAATCGTGGATACAGCATCCTTCTTAAGGCGAAGCCGTCCTGCTGTCCATCCTACTGATTGCATTGCTTCAAAATTTTGCACGAATCACGAACTCTCGAAATGTTGCGAGCACAATTTTGAGCTCTTTGTTGGCTTCAAATTTTTGCGTCGGATTTTTTCAATCCAAACATCTCGCAAGCGCTTGTTTTCGGGAAGCGAAAAAACAAATCTTTTGCTGCGTTTGATGGTTCTTAGAAGAAGCCGTTTTTATAATTAAAAGCGGCACAATAAACCATATTTTCAATGCTAAATTGTCGTGTTGTTAATGCAGGCAAATAAGTTACCAATATATTTTGAACGAAGCGCGGAATTGACCGCGTTTAGCTAATGTCAACTATTACGTCACAACGACCTTTTTCCAATCGGTAGCCGTCGTTAGCTCGTCGGGCATTTTTAATACGTTATCAGTAAAGCATCAACTTTAAACCTCCATATCTTCAAAAATATTTATCTATCCTTTGAGTCTCAAACTTTGGTGAACTCTTAGTTGAAGCTATACCTTTATGTGAGGTACAAAAATAACAATCCGAATTTTATGTTGCATGTGTCCTTTAACAAACAACAAGCATTTCTGGAGAGGGAACACACATTTTAATCAATGTTGCTACCAACAATTAACAGAAAGACAAACAAGCAGAAGAAGTGGCTATCTCCTACTTCACAAGCATACATTGCTGCAGAGAAGGTGATTTGTGACAAGAGGCTTCTAAAAGACCTGTGGAAGCTATCTGAGTTTCGTCACACAGGAGAGTTGGAGGTTTACCATTCCCTTTTACTGAAATACTGCCCAAAGCGAGAGTATTTTTCATTTCCTGGAATGGTAGCCCGTACTCAGTTAGCAGCATTAGATCACAACAACAATATTAACTGTGATAAAGCAGTCATTAAGTCAGGGACAAACAAATGGCAAGACCGTTACAAAATGATTTTTGCTCAAACAAAGAAGCAATCGGTTGTAAAAGCAATGAAATAAAAGAAAGAATACCAGTACGTTGATATACTACTTGCCGAGGTTGTCAATGCATGCAAAACTGAGGAGATTGAACTTGTACATCATGGCGAGAATCTTCCAAAGAACATTTCTAAATCATATCCACCCAGGAAAGAGGTACTTGTAAAGGAACATCAGTCAGTGGTGAAGTTAGCTATGGTAATAGGTTTTGCCATGCCGATATAATATGATGTTGCATCAGTGAAGACAACTTTTGTACATTTATTCTTAAATATTAACATAGCAAAACCAGTATAGTGGAAGCTTTCAAATTGAAATTCCTCTGCAGGCCCAGGTGGAGGAAATGTTTCTCTAATGCGAGTAACATGATGGCAAGACGACTCTTACTTCTCTACCCAAGATACCCCAGCACCATCTTGTCAACTGTCTATATGCAATATGGCGGTACAGTTTGTCTTCGGGCCCATCATATGCTACCTCATATAGCTGCTTGTACTGGTAGCAAGCTGTTTGTAAAACCCACCTGTTAAGACAAACCGGCTCAAAACCAGGATGTTGTGTAATGCACAAAGGGACTTCGGTGGTCTCATTCGTTTCTACTGCCTCTACATTTTTGTCACAAATAATTAAAATCTCTTTGCAGCATAAACATTCCTCATTATTGTCCATTATTTGGCAGTTACCACATTGACACCTGAATATGTTAAAAGAAAGGATCTTGAAAAGCAAATTTCAAAATTTCAATAAAGATTGTATTTTACAATAAAAACTTTAAAATCTGAAGTATTATGTGTGTGTAGACGTGGTCAACTTCAAAAACGGCAAACGTTCTTTCGAGATCGAAACAATGGTCTAGAATAATATAACATTTTATTACTCACCATTCAAGAGATTCATCCTCAATATACACAAATTCCTGATCTTCGTTGTCCTCAAACTGGTGAGCTTCTTCGTGTTCATCAGCCGGCCATTCGGGCTCAAACTGATATGGCCGAATATTGTTTGCTGGATTGTCTTCCATTTCACTATCGATTGGTGAATTACGTCGAGGTTCTTCCAAAAAAGCCATTATAAGCGATTGTTTTGTTTTTTTGTGCTAGGCTGTGCGTTATTATTTTACTTTGTTGTAAACACAACTCCAAATCGGTTTGACGATATGACGTCAAAATAATTTCTCCTAACGCTTTCTGTGCCCACGCTGCTAAGCCTCAAAACAGCTCAAATAGCGCACTTGAAAATGCGATTTTGTCAAAAATAAAATAGCTGATGTAAAATTTTCAAAATATAGTAACCTTTGCATAAAAATGGAACTTTTAAGACCAACATTATGTGAGGGTGGAGTTCCCCTTTAAATGTGTTTATGTAATGCATGGCTAAACATTCAAGAGAAATCATATTTAAGTTGATACACCAATTTTCTAACTATTGACAATAAGCTGCATGGTAAAGGACAGTACAGCCTGTTCAAACGTATGGGGAGAAAGAATAACATGAGAACATTTTCTACATGTAGGACGCTGAATATTTTGTTATAAACTATACTTGTCTATGGAAAAAGGGGATCCTGTTAAAATTTATGTAGGGGAGGAGGCTCATCTCCTATTATGCATCACCTCCCTTCTTTGCTGACGCCACTTTCGACTAATCTCTGTGTGTCTAGCAAAATATTGATAGTTGTATACAACAAACCATTTCTTTTAAAAGTAAGAAAATTTGAAAAGTAAACAAATGTTAAACACAGCAAGAATGTATTTACACACAGAGGAAGAGCGCGACAGAATCTATTTTTGTGTAATGTTGATTCATGCAACACAGTGAGCTTTTGAAATTATAGTTTTATTCATATGTTAGTTTAACAGTGTTAAGGTTTACATTTATTGCATCCTTTACTGTTGTATCTACAGTGTTTCTTATTGATTATAAGTAGTTATAATTGCGTGCAGCTGATGTGTGATATGTATTCATGATTTGCAATGGTTTATTTAATAACAAAGGTTTTTTATAAGAAGAACTGACTTATACAAGAATATACAAGTATGGAATTTTTGATTAATGAAGGGAAAATCCATTCACAGTTTCGAAAATCGTGTCTTAATCATTGACACTCAAATCCTGTCTTAGATAGATGATTCTCTATTCCTGAGTTAAAACTTGTTAAACTTTATAACGTTTAACATCACTTCTTTGGAATTCGATATATCACAATTTTATTATGAACTCTGCATGAGGTTCTTATTTATGTATTTTTATTTCTATAACAATTGTTTGTAGTCAGTGATGTATACTTAGTTATAGAATAATATTGTTTGTTGAAGGAGATCCTGACTCACACTTCATCTTCTTTCGTTATTTAAATGTATTTATGTAACAAAACTCATATGGATAAAAAGTTGATGTTTCAATAACGTACGAATTAAATATGATCACCATTTTTTAACTGATATGTATGTGGTCACGTTTTTTATATTAAATTTCTCATCTTTTGTTAGGTACGTAACATGTAAAGAACTAAAGCAGGCATAATTTTGTCCACACGATCGTCGTATATGAAGTCTTATTTCTAAAACAAAGGTAATTTTATGTAAGTTAACCGAGATTTTGTATTTATATTTCTAACTTAACAAATTTGATACCAAAGCATTGCGTAGTATGAAGTATGACTATAAACAAATCAATGTTTATTTCCATTCCAAATGAAAATCTTTTGAATGATTCTATACGTGACTTTTAAATCTATATTTAATACCACGACTGGAAAGTAGGTTTCATTTTTTGTTTCAAATTATCCACTATAAAAATTGCGGCTCTTACACGAAGAAAAGGTTTGATAATAAATAATTCTGAGTCAGTGATGCACTTGATATTTACAGATGCCACGTCATACTGAGTAGTATAGAGACTACCGGTTCTGGCGCACTTTACCCCCTGGCAGGCTGCATACATAAATCTGAACGCCCCAGCCCTAGTTCTCTTACACAGTACGAAGTACATGTATACATGGCTCCCGACAATAAATCGCACCGGTCCTGGCGCACTTCGCAGTTTGAGAAGGAGTATACACAAATCAAAGCGCCCCAGCCCTAGTTCGCGTACGTGGTTCACATACATAGTAAGCACACAGTAAGCACATAGGTCGGCAAAAAAATCGTACCGGATAACGCAAAGATCAAACTCAGGACAACGGCAGGAGCCAAAGACGAGCGGCCAGCGCCTGCGCAGTCGGCCTTCGGGGGTCTATTATTTATTTAGACATAAATTCTCATATATTGTATATCCAAACATTCGGAAGCCATGAGGCAGAGCAAGAACAAGTGTGCGTGGTTATTATACGGAAATCTCACCACATGTGGACGAAGCTGCATGGGTGAATACTGTGGATTTTATATGAGGCGGTTAAGGGAAGGGAAGCGACTTCCACAACCATGTCGTAAGTGTGGGGTCGTAACACAAGCAGAAAGTATCCTTTGTAAAGCCTGCGGTGCGAATAGGGTGCAGCTCATGCTTGGTTTTAAACAGAAACAAGCAACAAAAAGGTTTGCTAGCGTACTCGCCGAATTAATTTCGACATTTAGAATTAATTTTGATTCAGAAAAATATCTCCCCTAATGCATAGCAACGACATTTGCGACACTCGAGATGGATACTGTTAATAAACTTCTGCAACTATATGACCAATGTGTAATCAGCGGACATACAATGAACGCCTCTCTTAAGGCCCTTCAAGCGCCCGCTGCTTTAACACCCACGCCAAGAAATGTCACTCCGCCAATCCCCAAACCGCGCAAGAGCAGGCCTATCCCGAAACCGCGCAAGCGCAGCCCCGTCAGGTCTACTGATGATGAAATTGATGCATACATGGATGAGCTTCTGGCTGAAATGTCATTGAGGCGCAGACCACAACGTCCCACAAGGGCCCCTCCCCCGTCACCCACGGAACTTTAGTGGGATGAAACGAAGGTCTTCAGCTATCATCTGAGAGCCTGGAAAATGCAGTTGCCGAAGAGGCACCCCTCCAAACGTGACTTGACCAAACCCTAAGACGCGTACCCTCCTGCTCCGCAAGGGGATCTACCCCTATGAGTATATAGACGGCTGGTCTAGATTCGACGAGGGGTCCCTCCCGCCGAAGGAGGCTTTCTACAGCAAACTGTCCGCTAAAGGCATTACCGATGACGAATATGCCCACAGAAAGAAGGTCTGGGACGCCTTCGGCTTCACAACCTTCGGTGACTACCACGACCTCTACCTTCGGACTAATGTTCTCCTTCTCGCCGACGTATTTGAGAACTTCCGAAAACTGTGCCTCGAGCAATACAAGCTAGACCTGGCCCCTTATTATACGGTCTGAGCTGGGACGCTCTCCTCAAGCACACGGGGGGGGGAGCTCGAGCTACTCACTGACATAGATATGCATCCGCTGTTCAGCACAGCCAACAAGATGGTGCTGGGAAAATGAAGGACGAGTGCGCTGGGGCGCCTATCGCTGAGTTTGTGGACTCAGTCCCAAGATGTACTCTATCCTGAAAGCCGAAGGTGTTAAAATAGCCAAAGGTGTTAAAAAGCGTGACAGGACCCCATCGTCTAAGCCGGCGCTGTTTCGGTACCAAAGGGCACCACTTGGAGCTTCTAGCGCACAAACGTGCCCTTAGGTCAATCGCTCATAAATACAACACGGGCTTCTTGCCCTCAACTACAGCCCGCTCGACCTGCTGTGGGGTCACACTCCAGATAGGATCGGTCGCCCTACGCCGTTCGCCACCTTCGAGGTTGCCAGGCGCATACAAATACCGCAGCATAACATCCGATGGCAAGCGTCGCTCTTTGAAACCAACTGGACGAGGCGCCGGCCCAACGGGTTTGGCCTTAACGCTCTTCTTCCGAATCGCAAGGGGGGGCTTTTCGCCCGTAAAACGAGTAGTTTCATTATTGAGCGCTTTAACCACCTCAGGTAATCTTGATACCCATTCTTTGTTCCAAGTTCCGGGCTCAGTAAGCTCGCGATGATACTGATAACCGAACAATCACTCCGCCAAAGTTCGATTAATTCTTTCTACGATCCCCTGATCTCTATGAACCTCGACCTTACCCCGTCGAATTGTGACACCATTTTTATCACACGCTTTTGCACAGCCTCGCGGAACTCCAAGCCAGGGTCGACTTGTAAAACTTTAGGCCATCGAAGAGGCCCACAGGCACAAATAGACTCTAACGCCTTCCCAACCTGGGTTGCTGTCTTGTCTGTGATCGCCAGGGCCTCCTTATACCGACTTGCTACGTCGACGACCGTCAATGCGTATTTCAATGTGCATCTTCCGACTCGATCGTGAGGCAGAAACAAGAGATCGGCCTGGCGGACCGCATTCGGGGTGTTGATATCAAACTTAGGTCGGGGAATAGCACTTCGCGCTGGTGCGAGCAATTAGATCTACCAGATGGCCTGTTTTGTTAGCCATTCATGAGCCACATACTCGCCGACGCCAGCCTCTTTAGCCAGCTTTGGGATACCAGCACGGCCCAGCCAGTACCCTGCAGGACGGTAGTACGCCTCTGCGAGGCGTTCTTCAACGCTTCCGTCCGTAGAAACGCAACCATGCCTTGTCGAGACGACGGCTTTACATTATGTGTCGTAGGCGTCTTCTCTTCAGCTTCGAAATCGTCAGGAACACCGCCTGTGGTCAGAGGCACAAGGTGGAGCACCTTCTGGTCATTAGCTGGAGTGTCTTCGCCGAACACTCCCCCTTAATCTTTTTAAAAGCCCCTCTACAGAACCCTCTTCTATAAACAGCCACCCCGCCAGGACAGCATGGCGTCCGCAGACAGCAGTCACTTGACTCTGCACTGCAAACGTATTCGTAACCGGACCCGCTCGGGAAAGCCTCCAGAAAATGTTTGCGCAGCTGGAGCTCAGTATATGCTTCCTCTATTTCAGCGAGCGCACGTCCAAAACTATCAAAGACAAGCACATGCGTTCTAGTTTAACAAACAGTTAGCCAGTGGTGCCCCCCTTCGTCCGTATCATGGAGGGGGTCGATGTTGTCCGTGTTGCTGATACAAAACTGCCCATTGTGGAGATGTGGTAGGCTGTCGTAGCTACAGACCCCAACGAAACGTCTTCGGGCTCGCTCGGTCTTTAGGAGGCGTTCGATGTCAACGCTCAAGAGCGGGTAATCCATTCTTTATACTGAGCACAGCGGGAGGCTGTTGGTAGCCGACACCAGGATGGCCCCTTACGCGAAGAATGCCGCTATCATCTTCGCCCTCGGTACGCTCAGCTCGCTGGGGGACAATGTCTTTGACAGTATTCTGTGGTTAGTCTTAACGGCAACATGTCTCCCCCCCTACGACTAACGCGTGGAATATGTACCATCCCGCGAGCAGACGACGGGTGATGCTGCAAAAAGATCGAGTGCTGGAAAGATTCGCAAGACAATGGGAACAGTTCGAAGAACACGTGCAGCGCCAAGGTCGACAACAAGACGGAAGACGGGGGCGTCGAAGCGCGCAGCGCCTAGAAGAACAGCAGAGACTCGACGGAAGACCACGGGGTGAGCGAAGAATAGCGGTTTGGATGAATTCAAGAGCATGCTCCTGGTTACTGCAAAGAACACGGGCAAGAAAGCAGCGAATCGCGCAAAATTGAGGGCCATTTCTAGGTTGAAATCGTCAGGCACAAGTTTAGCACCCAATGTCCTTGCTTCGGCGCCCGCTGCGGCTTCACGTTTCCATCAGCCAATCAGCAACAGCATCTCCCAGGCCTTGCGGGCAGCGTCCTCGACCCCGACGAGCGCCCACATTGGCCAGTCGTTCAACATTTAGAGCGGTGCATATCTTTCCGAAATGGATTTTCGGCTGTTATTCCCCGCCCCCATGTCAGTCGTCCCGACGCCATCACAGGCGCCCGGGCCTCCTGTTCTTCCAAGAGTTATCGCGCGCGATACAAGCACTGGTGGCGGCAAATGCGTCATTTCGATCACCTCCGCTGATCAATATATTCAACCTAACACGGTCTTGAAGCATTATTTCGTCATGCCTGAATCAATCGAGGATACGAGTATAGAACCCGAGTCCTACGTCATCATCGACGACATCCGCGTCATTAATCTCAAATGCGGAACGCAGAGGGAATGCCTCTATAAGTTCTTTACGATGTACAGCCATCATCTGAAATTGAACGTCTTCTTCCTCTCCCAGAGCTTCGACAACATAAAGAACATGAAGGTTAACACAAACTTTCTCTATCTCTTCCGATTCACGGATAAGTCGAACGTGAAACGGTTTCTTAATACACTCTTCGGCGGCACGGGCAATAAACGGCTCTCATCTTATCCTCCTCAAACTTTACGAGAATTTCTTGACCCGCTGCAAGCGCCTGATCCTCGCTATGGACTTCACCAATCAGCGATTCGCGTATTATTGCGGCGAAAATTCTATTGCGGTGGACTTTCAGTGAAAGCTTTGCTTTCTCCGTCATTATCAGAATGTTTTTTAAGCTTGCTAGCAGCTTTGCAGCTTTTTTAATGGAGAAAAAATCTGACCAAGAATTAGAGGAAGAAGTTCAGAAGGTATTTCACCAGATTTTTAAGCCTATGTTTGAAGAAAATAGAACATATTCGAGTCCGGATCGTCGATTGTCTCCCTGAGCGGCTTGAGCGGGTGGCGGATGGTTATCGGTCGGCCTTCCTCATACCAAAAGCGCGGCGGCTGGAGGTCCTCTAGTTTATCGAGAACGAACCCGAAAACATTATCAAACGCGCTAAGTCCTTTATGGAGGTCTTGGGTTATCTCCCAGAGAGGGCCCGAGCAAAGGGGGCTGGAGCACCAAATCGCCACCGGGATTTCATTTTTTTCCTGCGTTAAGCATTGCAGTATATACCAACCAATCCCCTGCTAAGTTGAGCTTGCTGAAGCTAAAAAAACACCCAAGCGTTAAAGAGCTCTATGCCTTGTTCGGGAGCCACCCCGAGCTTCTCAATGAAGAGTCGGTACTGAGCGCGGTCAAATTCAGGTTGCTGAACTGTACTGATGATACAGGCCAAGTTCGTGACAGCGTCGCTGATGTCCGTTTGAAAAACCAATTCCTGGTGGTCACTACAACCGCGCCTTCTCTCCAGACTCGAAAAGAGAAGGAGTTCGATCGCTTGCTGCTGCTCGTCTTTGGCCGCTTTCTGGCGGACCAGAAGATTCCCGAGGCCTTTATCAAAGCAACTATTTCACTCCGCGTGCGCAGCTGGTACAATTGTTTACGGAAAACTGTCAAGGGTTTGAAGCAAGTCTCAGGGAACCTAAGGCGGATCAGGATATACGTGTTGTCATCGTGGCTGACTATCGCGTGCTTGTGAACAACGTAAACCAGCAGTTTCTCTGCAGGTATCCCTTTGAGGTGGTCGCTAACGCCGTAGTCGACTTCGGCCATACCCAGATTCGCCTGGCGAGGCAGAAGTTGCAGGAGATCAAACAGCATGCTCTTGCGGTCGCGGGGTCAGGGCAGAAGTTCGATGATTTTGGCGGCCTTGCTTGAGACCTACTTCAAAACACCCAAGAGCAAACTTATAAATTATGATCGTCATTTTATGCCTGGAGGCGTCAGAGGCAAGATGACTAGCGATGCTGACTTTATCAATGCGCTCCTCATTAACGAGAGCCGCACCATTAGCAAGTGTGTTGCTATATTGAACGCTCGAGGCCTTGCATGAATGTTTCATGGACATGGCTATTTGGACGTTATATGACTCGATGGGGCACGTTTGGATACAATTGGAGAGTGTATTGTACCGTATAGGTACGTATCACGATAGGAGACGTACCTATAGGGTGTGTTATCTTGAGTTCCCCTGATACTACGTATCAGCATGTCGTTGGATTTGTGTATGACCCAAGAAGTCGAGATTTGGCTTCAAGCAAGGAGACCTCCTGTGACGGATTTAACGCGTTTCCGCTGCCAATACGATGCCGAGCAAGATCTACCAAGCTCGATCCCTGTATGGGAAAACGCTTTTGACCGCCCCACCCGTACGCAGTTGGAGGCTGTTCTCACCCAAGCTCAGGCCGCCAAGCGACTTAAGTATCGTCGTTCCGATAGAGCTGCGAGGAGGGTGGGACTCCCTCCGACGCGTATTACTCTGCAGGTGGAGAGGGGAGGTGGCGGATGGTCTCCGCCTGACCCGGTTCTCAGTCCGAGTGGAGTGCTTTGCATGGGGATTGCGGCTGCTGTAAACGATGTTGCGACCGTCCGGCTGAAGGTGAACGGTTTCGAGAAGACAACTTTCGAAGTGCGCAAGCCACGCGGGCAAGTTCTGCCTTCACAATTTTTTGACCCTGCACTAGAGGTTGACGCGGGGGCTGTTATTGGGTTTTCTTCAACAGACGCTACCGTTGATTTTATAGTGACATTGCATAGTGACTTCTTTACCTACGGTGTCGACGGCGCCTCTCTATCCTCGCTGCCTACTGCGAGCGATGCTGAAAATACGTACCGAATACAGAAGATTTCAGAGGTCGAAGCTCTCTTGCACACGGAAATGGAAGCCCGCCAAACGCTCTACAAAAAGTACAAAA